TATGACCACCAACTTCAAGCAATTGTATCATTTCCACCTGGAGAGCAACGCAAGGCTCTTTCCCAAGCATTCGGGATAAACGCTGCCAGCGAACTTTGCAAGATCCCATCTATTTGACTCTTCAAGTCATTTCCGCATGAATGGATGCACCTTGTGCTCAAAAATAACTTGAAAAACATGATCCATCTTTGGAAAGGGAAATTCAACAAGTTGGATGAGGGATGGGAACATTACACTCTAAACGATGCAATCTGGGCGCAAATAGGCACGGGGACAGAGCAAGCTGCAGCCATTATCCCTTCTGCATTTGGCCGTCCGATGCCAAATATTTGGACAGAACAGCATCTTTTCACTGCCAAAGACTATGGATGTTGGGCCTTGCATATCGGCCCATTTGTACTCAAAGATCGCTTTCCTGCACCAACAATTCTATGAACATTACATGCTCTTCCGCTTAATTCTCTCCCTTACATTGAAATATAACTTCCACCAATGTTGAACTCATTTGCGAGAGAACTATCAAGTACGTTGCAAGCGGGCTAGATATCTAACCCCCTAAATGCAAGCAAATTCGTGGAGAGGGAGTCTGGGATGTCCTAAGCTCGTCCTAGGTTCGGTCCGGGTGCTAACAAAACAAAAATAATCACAAAAACTCGTTAAGAATTACGTACCCCTGGTCCATCTTGGACAATTGTCAGGGATTCCTTATAATACTCAAGGAGTCAAGCTTAGAATTTCTCTCTTTTACTTGGATCTCTCAGCGCTACAGTCTCTTTGTAGTCAAAAGGGAGGTCACTTTTTCATTCCTACATGTACAGAGCTTTTAAACACATGGAACAGCAATAATGTGGAAAAACAAATGAAAGGAAAAATATAAAACAAAAGATTGTTGTTATGGACACCATGTGGACTGTTAAGTATGGCCAATAAGTCCAACAGCTGGAAGTTCAATAAAAAAAGACAGGAGTGATAAGTGGGCCATATCTGCTAATAATTGCCGTCCTCCACCAATTTCCACCATCACACTACACTCATCCCTCTCTTCCTACCCGTATCATCCTTTCCCGACCTCTCCATTCGATTCCCCGGGTTCATAGCTTTCTCCCGATACTAAATTTGTCCAAAATGGTTGAGATTTGACCGAGTGGCAGGCATGATAATTGTAAAATTGGCCCGTGTGCAGGGTTAGACGTCCTGGAAAGTGTTCACAAGAGTCCCCGTGTCAATTGGATCTTCATATGCATCCTTTGTGATTTTTCTGAATTCTCTGAGCACTCTGGAGTGCATTTTGGTTGTTTGTTTACTTCGGTATGGCTTGTGATTTCCATTTTGGGCTGAAAACCAGTTTCGTGATCTCCCGAAGTACAGGTCTCAGCTCTGCCGCACAGGACTTTCGACACCGCCACCCTCATGTGCCTTTCGACATTGTGCAGAACCTTGCAGTAAGATGAGAAATCGCCACCACCATTGTTCCACAACGGCTGGGTCGATCTGGATGAAATTCGGGGAATCCATAGTTATGATTTTTCTCTATTTTTTGAGCCCTTGATCGTCTTTTGGCAGCCAGTAGCGCCAAGCATAGTTTTTGGGCTGGATGTCATGGCCATGCATTCCAGCCTGTTAGCTGCCTGTCCCAATGCCACCCGAGCCCATTCCCGCTATGCGAGCGTGAGCACGAGCGCAAGCCCCAACCCTCATCCCTATCCTCTATGAGGACTCCCTGCTCACTCCCCTGCTTGCCCCTAGGCTCCCCTGCACCTGGCCGACTCCCCCACAGCCACACCAACCTTCCTGCCCTGAGTCCGCCTCTGGCACCGTGCCCAGCGTGACTCCTCTACCCCGCCCACTTGGCCGCTACCATTCCCGTGCCCGACTCTGGCCCAACTCCGAGTCCAGCGCCGCTACGATACCATTGCCACTATCGCAGCCCTACGCTCCTTCCTTTATTTACCTGTTATTGTTTGTTTTGACCCTCGGTCATTGCCGGCCGCTGTGCAGCCAACCCCACTCCTTGTTCCCTTTTGCTTCCGGACCCTTCGGCCTTCGGCCCGGGTCCGCTTCAATTCATTCTGCCTTCCTATATATATCCTGTATACTACATTATAGTACTTTAGCTCTAATATCAATTTGACCACGACCCCCAAGTCCTGACCCCAGCAAGGCAACCCCAGTAAGTCTGAAATGAGGGCCAAGAGACAGCTAGGGGGCACAGCGCTCCTTTAGAGTCGCTGAGGCCAAATGCCCTACCCTCTGTCAGGGCACACCCTGACTAGCCCGGACCCGGACCCGCGTCCGGACCCGCTTCCACCCGCTGCGCTTCCCACACGCATGCATGCTCCACACGCCGCATGCTCCGGACCCGGTTCCTACCCCTTCATGTGACTTCCGGGTATCCCCGGAAGTTTTGCTGATATTGTGGCCACTGTGGGAAGATGAGAAGTTAGCTTCCTTCTCATCTCCTTACCCACAGTAGTTGTTGCCCTGGATAGGGCTGTTCATAGGTCAGGCTGTGGACCACAGGGGAGGGTCATGGGGACCCGGGAGTCGTCCCCTGACACCCTCGGGCCTTGTCACGGCATCACGGCCCTTGCGGCCTATAGCAGCCCGCTAACAGCAACCTTCGGTGCCGACCCTGGACCAGTGTCTAACACTGGACCAATTCAGTACCAGCACATTATGCGCAATTGTACTCCATAATAAATGAAATAAAATGTTCTTATGCACCATTGGCATTGGTAGGTGATCATTGCATATGGGAAATCCTTAAGGAACGTAAAACCGCGAAAATACGGTAAGGTATAGTAGGTTATCCCACCTACAATGTTGAAGATTTTGAGAGGTAGGTCCACTGGTTGTGTTTGTTAGAACGTGGGGATTCGGACGACTCCGGAATGGAATCGGAGACTTAGCATGGAAGGACCTCGGCCTCAGCGACTCAGGTGGAGCGCTGTGCCATTGCTGGTTGTCCTAGGGGTCCCTAATTTCGGATCTAGCAGAGGGAAAGTCTCTTGGGGGGGAATTCCAGTCGATTTCGGACTGAGGTTACAAGTTACTAGGTACATTGTATATAAGGAGGGGTCCGGAATCAAAAGGGACAAGGGTAGGACAAAAGGAGACAAAGGGAGATGGAAAGAGGAGCAACACCGAGGGTCAAGTGTTTGACTCAATGGTGTTTCCCAAAGGAGGAATGAAGGGCCAAGGCCCAAGAAGGAAGGAAGGAGGATGGGAGTCGGGAATGGCTAGCTGACTGAATAGAAAGGAAGCAGCAGCCCAAATAGGAATGAGGGAGAATAGCGGAATTGAAATGGACAATGCAATAGTTGCAAGGTCCGGAGTAAGTCCGGAAAGTCCGAACTCGGAGGTTAAACTCCGGAATATTGGCAAAGGTAATTGAATGGAATGAGCTAACCAATACAATGGGTATAAGCGGAGGTGGGGTCAAAGTCCGAGGTCAGAGCTAAGACCGGAGGTTCCGGAGACAGAGATGCCAACAGGATTCCGGAGCGGAGGTCCGGAGTCGGGGACATAGGTGTTGTGTACTCGTCTGGAAGGTGTCGAGGTTGGGGTCGGACCCGGAATGTTCCGGAGTCGGACCGAAGGTGGTGTCCTAGCCGGAGGTGGGATAACCTCTTGGGAGTCGGCAAGGAGAAAGTGATGGGAGGGAAGTAGGGCTCCGGAAGTCGGAGTTCGGAGTTCCGGGAGCCCGGAGCGGAGGTCGGGATTGTATGGATATGACAGTGTTGTAATTTTATTAATACTGCACTAATTTGTCACTACCAAGATACTACTATCAATACAGAGAACAATGACTTTCAACATGCACACTTACCCTCCATGCACTTCTCCATATTGTGGATGACATTGAATAAAATGGGCCCCCTTGTTTCAATTGGTCATTCATTATGGAATGATGGTGTGGTGTCATGACCGACAAATCCTGGGGCTCCGTCAGCGGCGAACCAATGCCGATAGGCGAATCTGCCGACCCGAAACCCATCCTAACCAGCCCCCAACCCCATGTCTGGCCCCCCTGCCTTACTACATGAGACTTGGCCAATAATCAGAACCTAGGCCCTGCCGGTATTCCGACCTTACCTCCAGTTCCTGGCCCTTGGTGCTCCCGGCATTCAGTCATGCCTGCCTTGTCTCCATCTGAACCACACTCATCGCTTCCCGCTATGTGGTCACAGCCATGCCCCGCTTCCGTGCATTCCGCACCCTCTGCCCATCTCTGCACCCTCTGGCCACTTCTGGTTGCCCTTGACACCTCTGGTCAGGTCAACACTCCCACTCCCCTCTGTACCTCTGTTGGCCTTCATGCTGTCCTTGTGTGACAGTGCTGGCAGATCAACCTCTGTTCGCGGACTTGTGTCGGCACCGCACCGACCCCGCTTATTTGCGGACTTGTATCGGCGCCGCACGCTGACCTCCGCTTTTGTCCTCTGGCCATTTTTGTCACTTGGCAACATAACATTCATTCCTTGCCGAGTGCCTATTATGTTCACCCCAATATTGGCATTTGATCCGTGTGCTATTGCACTTTCCCATTCATTCATTTAATCTGTCAATATTGGTATTTGATCCGCTTTAACTTTATTCATTCCTTGCCTCCCATTTCCCAGGTTCTTGTCCTTGGTTTAGTTTGACAAGTCCCCGCTCATTTCTGCTTATTTCCGCACTGGACCAACCGGTCCCTCTCTTATCTACTTATACCTTGTAAATACTTTTGGGGACCTCAGTCTGAAATCAACTAGAGTACCCCCCTGTCTGGTCTGAGTCCCTCCTTCTGCAAAGGGGGCTTCCCCCCCTCTGAGTCCGTGCTCGCGGAGTCCGCGCTCCTCCTACAGGTCCGCTCTGCCCGCAAGTCTTGTTTGAAGTCCGCTGTAAGTGTCAGTTTGTAAATACGGGATCTCCCCCAAACGTCAAGCTCAGGGCACAGTGCTCCACCTGAGTCGCTGAGGCCGTGATCCCACTCTGCTAACCTTGAACAGCACTTCCGGATGCACCGCATATTTCCGCCTGCATATCCGCGCACGCGCTCCAACAGACCTCTGCATCGCCTCCGACCTCAACTCAGACAGAACCCAATCCGTCTTCTATCCATCTCTGACAATACTTCCGACTCTGACAATAATCTCCAGATTCTGACATGTGGTCAGCTTGTGCCTGTGCTCAAGTCAAGGGTTCGTCCATATGAGAATCTTGCACTGCGTCAACTCTCGCTGGCTCAAGAGAATGCCATTATCAACTGCTATGACCTTTCTGATTTAATCGATGGCCCTGAAATCGATCCAGATGACCCCCATGAACATGAGCATGTGTATGATGAGTGTACTTATATGCTTCATCTTTCTCTTAGTGATCTGAACTGATTGTTGTGTGGGTTTTCAGATCCGGCATCCATACTGCGAAGCCCGTATTTAGCAACATACAAACCCGACGATAGTCTCAAAGGGAAAGTTGCCAGATACCTTGGTTGTGTCATATCCATACAATCCCGACCTCCGCTCCGGGCTCCTGGAACTCCGAACTCCGACTTCCAGAGCCCTACTTCCCTTCCGTCACCTTCTCCTTGCCAACTCCCAAGAGGTTATCCCACCTCCGGCTCGGACACCACCTTCGGTCCGACTCCGGAACATTCCGGGTCCGACCCCAACCTCGACACCTTCCAGACGAGTATGCAAAACCTATGCTCCCGACTCCGGACCTCCACTCCGGTATCCCATTCACGTCTCGTCTCCAGAACCTCCGGTCTTAGCTCCGACCTCGGACTTTTGACCCCACCTCCGCTTATACCCATTGTATTGGTTAGCCCATTCCATTTAATTACCTTTGCCAATATTCCGGAGTTTAACCTCCGAGTTCGGACTTTCCGGACTTACTCCGGACCTTGCAATTATTGCATTGTCCATTTCAATTCCGCTATTCTCCCTCATTCCTATTTGGGCTGCTGCTTCCTTCTATTCAGTCAGCTAGCCATTCCCAACTCCCATCCTCCTTCCTTCCTTCTTGGGCCTTGGCCCTTCATTCCTCCTTTGGGAAACACCATTGAGTCAAACACTTGACCCTCAGTGTTGTTCCTCTTTCCATCTCCCTTTGTCTCCTTTTGTCCTACCCTTGTTCCTTTTGATTCCGGACCCCTCCTTATATACAATGTACCTAGTAACTTGTAACCTCAGTCCGAAATCGACATGAATTCCCCCAAGAGACTTTCCCTCTGCTAGATCCGAAATTAGGGACCCCCAGGACAACCAGCAATGGCACAGCGCTCCACCTGAGTCGCTGAGGCCGAGGTCCTTCCATGCTAAGTCTCCGATTCCACTCCGGAGTCGTCCGAATCCGCACGTTCTAACAGGTTGTATGTACAGGGTTTCATGGACACACATCCTACCACTTTTGCTGCTCAGCATGCCTCAATGGGGGAAGTCCTGCATAAAAGGAGGTGGGGATGAAATTTGCTCTGCTTTTGCCTTGCAAAAACATGGCAGTGTACAAGATAATTCCTATGTTCAGGTAAGTTCATTCCATCTGGGCCCATCTCACTGCTAATTTCCCCATGATAGTACAAGCTACTTTCGCTAAACAAGTCACAATCACATCATGCCAATGAAGAATGGGTCCACACCGTCCACTATGGACAACTTCAGCTCATCCTTGAATGTGTAATCATACCCAATAACCTCCTTCCTGCTTGTCAACACCTCCTTGCAGTTGTGACATGTGTGCTTGAAGGAATTGATGGTGCAATATCCTCCGCATCCTATCTGGTTACGTTGTCTATTCAAGTGCCAAGCATCAAAATTGCTGACCTCAACGCTGAAGGAGAGAATGAAGGAAGGTCAGTTGGGAGGTTCAAACAAGACCACCACCAAGCTGTTCCCTGGTTCTTTAGTTAGGATGGGGAAGTGTACTACTTAAATTCGTTGTAATTATAGTACCAATCCGAGTGTTTTGGCTAATTCTATTTTATGGGTTAGTCTAAAAGTTTCTGAGAATTGACTTACAGATATACAAAGCCCTGCAGAGCTGTTCCTCTATTGTAATTTCTCAATTTGTCTGGGTGTAATTCTGTGTAGGATTGTTTAATTTGGATTTTAACTTGAATTAAATCTTCTACTTGGTGAATTTTCAAAGATTCTACTCAGTTAATGGGTTTAGATCGTGTCTGAAGTTGTAAGCATTGTTAAGGTTGAGTTCGCGAGCGATCTCGTGATAGTCAGGTTGCCTCACACTCCCAGTCCATCAGATATACGCTGTATGTAGCTATATTATCAATGGGGGAGTAAAGGCTGGGGAAGCCTTCATCCCCTCTCATGTAGGTTATATATACATAATGTAATTACATGTGATTAGTGCGGCTTGGGACCGCATGGTACAATGAGAAAATGAATTAGGGAGGGCCATGAGTATGCAGCCTATCTCCCTTACAGAAGTGTCCCTTGACCTTGTCTTATTTTTGTCTTATTTTTATTGCTTGTTTTGACAGTAGCAAAATAACTGTTTTGTGTTTACACTTTGAAATCTGGAGTGTTAACCAGCTCTCCTGTTGAAATATTTACTTAATATTCCTCTCCCTAATTGCTGCCTTTTACTACAGGGGCAATCTTAACTGTATATCACTTTTTCGCACTGGAGTGACAACCAGAAATGCTTGAGAAAAATAATACTCTATTTTCTTACTTCTCTGAGGGGGGGGGTGAAAAGTCGCAGAAAGGGTCTCCCTTTTATACTCCTTGGGTTGCCTTCCTTTTTCACACTCTACCTCATATTTACAGGATTTATTTACAGTGTATTTTCCTCAAACTGAATAAAAATGAAATTTTCACGCTATAGTTCTATTGTGCTGAACTGCGGCTCTACTGCAGTCAGACTGCACCTAGAATCCTTATTGTCCTTCCTCACCTAAGCTATTTTAATGGTTCAATTAGAACTTGACTGCATGTCATGACCATGCATTCTGACCCAGATGCCGGCCCTTGTTCTGTGTTCTTTTGTTAATTCATCACCTGACCCATTCAGTTCCTCTGACTATATATACAATGTATAATACATTAGTATAGCTTTAGTCTGAATATCGACTAGGTTTGTCCCCCCTAAGGCAGCCTCAAGTCACCTTGAAATGTGGGCACTGAGACAGTAGGTGGGCACAGTGCTCCTTCAGAGTCGCTGAGGCCGAAGCCCAACCCCGGAGCCTTGTCCCTGCCAGTCGTCCCTATTCGCCAGTCCCATACCTAACACTGCACTGCATTTGTTGCAGTTCTCTATTTCAAATTCCTCTTATTTACCATTAAGTTTGCTATGACTTGGTCATTCTGAATTCAAACTTCACATTACTGCGCATACAGCTGTGCTGAGACCTTCAGCTGATTTATTCTATTTTTATCTGGTGACATTTAGTTGAAATGAGACTTGAAATGATAAATGAGTGAATTATTCAGGTTTAGAACCAAAAGAAAAAGTTGCTAGTAGTCAAGAATTGATCAAACAAATGTGTTATAGCTCTCTGCTTCATTAGTATATCGTTCCCTAAAATTCCTGCCATGGTCCATCATAGTTTAGTGGATTTCGTGGATTTCATCCATCTCCCCTGATTCTCGTTTGTATTATTGCATCCTAGTCCTTCGTATGTATTGTTCATTGTTATAATAGGTCGTCCTCAAGATATCATATTTTTATGTATTTTATTTGGGGCTCAGGACCTCTAGAAGCTGTCTTCCTGTGCATATTCAGGTTACTAGCTTCATGTCCTTGTATCTCATTCATTTCTGAATGGTTTTTCACGTTCTTGGCATCATAAATTTTTATTTATTCTCACCTTTCCAATGGTACTAGAATTGTACTCTATTTCTCGGTATTCATCGAGTTAGCAAAAGTTCACATGCACATTTGGTAATCATGTGTGTTGTTCCCATACTCATTCGTATGTGGGCGCCGTTTCTGTTTAATTGTTCAGAATTTATTGTATGTGCAGGTGTTTGTATCCTCAATACAGGCTTCCATGGTTTATTTCAGATTTTTCCCTCATGTTCTAAGGTGTTTTTGTACTTTCCATGCTTTGTTTTGACTGGGGTCTTCCTTATTTGGACATAAATTGGTCTTCACAATCTGCCGAAGTGCAGATCTCAGTTCTGATGGCCAGTTCCCTTCGCATCGCCACCCTCACATGTCTTTAAGCATGATGCAGATTTCTATATTCCCGTCATTGGTGTAACTTCACAACAGCTGGATCGTTTGGGCTGAAACTTTGCATAACGATAGTTTCCAATTTATGATATTTTCCATGTAAATTTTGTTATGTGTTTTAAATATGGATCTTGCGTGAACATCATCTTTTCCCTGAGCCATGACTTTGATGTTGCTCATCCTGTTAATGAATATCTCATTGATGCGGGAACCTTTTATTATGAAAATTTGGGTGGATTAAGAATAGATCCCTTCCTTTCTAGTGGGCCATCAAGCTTATCTTGGTCATTACTGCTTGTTCTTCATGCTTTCCTTTTGAATGTTGTCCTCATTTTCCGAGAGTTTTGGTCATATCTCCATCATCTATGGGTATTTTTCCCTGAAATTACTTTCATTGGGTCCGTTTGGGAGACATATACATTCCCTATTATAAACACAACTTTGAATTTTGCATTGGTTCCTAAGGAATCCTTGTTCCATGGTACTTCCAGCCTCGGCTACGTGTGTGGGCGTGGGAAAGTAGTTTCCATGGAGGTTCTCTGGTTGATTTTATAGTCAAATCTTGCTCGATTGACCTAGTTCCTTGTTTAATATTTGCTATAAATTCCCCCAAGCATACCATCTTGTTGGTGCTAAGCTTGAAGTATTTTTATTAATTTTCTTTCTTCCAATTTATCGTATGTAGTCGTAATAATTCATTAAAATTTGTTAAACTTCAGGTTCTTCTATTTTCTCATATCTATTTGTCATATGGGGTTTTTGTGATTTATCTGGCATATTTCCATAATGAGTTTTCATAGGGTGACTGTCAGGTCATGGTCCATGTATGTAGGGGTCACATGACCCAGGGAGGTCACTATCGTCCTACCCACTGTGAATCATACATATTTGATACTCACAGCTGGGTTCTAGGACACCCACCTTACAGTGACCGTTATTTCTCCTACAACACTGTTTGCACTGCCATTGGTAGGTTCAGATATGGTACAGTCGTGGACAGGCAAACCCATTAAGGTTTTAAGGGAGGCTAAATATATTCGCAAAAAGTCTCAAACACCAGGAAACAGTTCATTACATCCCTAGTAATCATTTCCCACCAACCATAAGTGTGAATTCAAAGATTTGATTTCTTGATTTTGGAGAAAAATTGTCTGCACACTCAAAAATAAGCGCCTATGCTCGAAAAATACATCAAATTAAAGACAATTGCAAGCAGAACGTGATTTTGAATTCAGATTTCCAGGGGAGATGGGTTTGAAGCATGAATGTGATGATCAACATGCTGCAAGGGTTTTGCTTCCGAAGTAGCGGAGCGCTGCCTTCCCTGTTTAGTATCCGGCGCTTGATGTCACTCCTCAGCTGGCTCCAATCTGTCCCAGAAGCAGTTGATAATAACAAAAATGATGATTGGGGCCCTGACTACAGTCAAAACTCAGAATCATACCTGCTAATCCCATTCCTTGCTTCCGAAGATGAGGATTTCAGTGTCGGACTCTGGTGAAGACATCAATTCATACATGGACAATGGAGAGAGCAAGGAGGATACAAGCTTACAAAACACAATGGCAAAGAGGGTGGCAGCAATAGCGGAGTATGTCAACAAACTCGATTATATCCCCAAGAAGGGTGTGAGTCCGGCAAGTTTGAAAGCACACGCAAAAGCTGCACAGGTGGCTGGAGAAAGGAAAAATAGTGAGTGTCCCTTATATTGGAATCCTAGTTGACCATAGGAACCTACAGAGTTGCATGAGGCAAAGATGCCTTACTCCACTGGGCCTGTCATAGCAAACAAGTGTGAATGGTCAAAGCGCAGATGGAGAGCGAAGGAAAAGAAAGAAAGACTGACACAGACGAGTTTAACTGGGCTCAAACGCACTCCCCGGGCCCAATCCTTCCATAAACCCTGTCCCTCATCTTCCACTTCAAATCCATCCTATCTTGCAAGTGCGACTGAGTCCCTGAATTCCGAGTCCAGTGAGGTCGGCCCCAATCCCACTCCTTGCGACACACCAGCGGTGGCACTGGTAGATGACAATGACCCACTTCCAACCCCACTTCCAGCAAAGCGAAGGCATGTGTGTCAGGGCATACACCCTGACCTAGCCCATACTGCATCCACACCTGCACTCGCACCTGCACCCGTGACTGCACCCGGCTGTTGCACTCCCCGCACGCGCCCTGTGCCAGATGCTCAGTGCGGCCGGATGGCCCGGACCTCGGGTCTCGGGTCTCATGTGACTTCCGGATATCTCCGGAAGTTTTCGATGTATTGTGGCCACTGTGGGAAGATGAGAAGTTAACTTCCTTCTCATCTCTGACCCACAGTAGGCAAGTTGTATATACTTGCCTCTCTTTTATATATCATCTCTGACCCACAGTAGGTTGTGCCCTGGACAGGGCTGGTTACACCTGGGACTGTGGACCATAGGGGAGGGTCATGGGGACCCAGGAGTCGTCCCCTGACAATGTGCCGCATATTATGGGAATACCACTTCCGCTGACTGAACCCGAGTCCATGAGGAAGCGCCAGTGTCAGATCCCAGACCAACACACTGAGATGGATGAAAGTGATGGTGTGGGTGACAGAATTGATGCTATGGATGGGGTTGATGATGAAGAAGTGAATGATTTGATGAACAATGTTGCGCAACCATCACTGGTGAAGCCAAAATTGAAATCATGGGAGGAGTTGCAGGATGGAATCAATGATATC